GAGATGACAGAAACAGAACATTACATAGTCTAAAATTTGAATAGTGGATTTAAGTTAATTCATTCTAATATAAATTCACAGTCACCACATTTTTATTTTGTTTTTAAATGATGAATGTTTTATTAATGATTAAGCCTTTTTATTTGCTGTGATCATCTCCCTAGCCCCCCATTTAACATCTGATGACTGTGTTCCAGACCAGCAGACACCAAAATAATATAACAATAATGTTCTTGTAAAAAAAGCTGTAATAAATATCACTTTTATGGTGCTAATAATACTGAGTAAACGTTAAGACTTTGTCATAAGTCTTAACTCAATTTCTGGTCGTTTTTAAGGTTGGAGTTTGTGGAAAGTAACTATGAGTATCTACGAATGAAGTCACAATTTAAACTGGAAACCAGTCCGTCCGCTAACGTTACTGTATCAACTTCTTTTACCTCCATCATGTCAGAGCAAATTAACTAGCACCGTAGATGATCGAGGAGGAGAGTTTATATGGGGCCCATAAAATTTGAAACAAATCCTTCATGACAACTATGATACATCAGACACCAGGTTACGTTTAACTTAACATATATCTAACTTTGTTAATTAACCATACACAAAAATATTGTTCGTGATACATTAACTACATCCTAAAAGAAAGCCAAATGTTGAGATGAAACCCCTTCCTACTCCACCTTAAATGTCCCCCATCACATTCATTTTCATATTCAAGTTAGAAATCGAGGACTTTCACGGGGAGCTGGAAAACACAAATGCAGTGTTAGTGAACTACACCCGACATACCTGTTGTATCGTAACTGTCTCAATGTACCGATGAGAGTAAAATTTCTTAAAAGAGTTCTGTTTACCAACAATTTGACTCTTTAGCTTCCCTTTGCGTTTCAAAGCCTCCACCCAACACCACTTAAAGGGGACGCGGCAAAGTACTCAGCCGAAAAAAAAAGTATCTCTAAATTTGAATATTGATCTTATGGATGATACATCGTGTTAGGCATGTGTACAGCTTAAGGTTGTGTGAATAAAACTAACTATTTCAATGCATTTAACATTTAGCTGTTTTATTTATACTAATTCGTTACATCAAACACCTGTCTCGGAACTCTTGTCAGCTCGATTGGCTTTCATCGGCGGTATTTTGACGACCCACCGGAAGTGTGTCCTTGGAACGGCCGACCCTCTCATTCATTTAACCAATGCGATACAGTATGAAACGATTTATTTTGTGTTTTAAGCTTTAGCTCCAAAATTCAGTTAATATGGCTACAAAACGCAAGATAGAAGTGATTGTGCCCGCCGAGGAAAGTGACCAACTCCTTATTCGCCCTCTGTGAGTTATTTTTTTATTAAGAGACTTATTAAAATAGTAGCTATTTTTATTTGTAATTATAATAACAAGAATTAAATGTAAAGCTAGGTTAAATGCTATTTCCTCGTGTACAGTGGTGCTGGTCAGGAAGTCGGAAGGTCATGCATCATCCTGGAGTTCAAAGGAAGAAAAATTATGGTAAATGATTTCATCCTCAATCTATAGCATAGTATTGAATTGTAATATTACTGCGAGAAAATAGACAAAAATTACATCGGGCTCTGGATTAAAATTGCAATATTTCAGTTAAGCTCTGGACCAGTAGTAACTATAATATCATGGCGTATTACAACATGCAATTTTATATCCATACATTGTGGCAGGCTCTAATTTGCAGGTAGTTGTTATCATTTAATGCAGTTTAATTGCTTTAATGTTGTTTTATTGTGTCCTGTGTTGACTTAATGTACCCTATTGAGTAGATTAGCCTGGGTGAAATAAATAATGTTGTACTCTTTGTTTGGCAGCTGGACTGTGGCATCCACCCTGGCTTGGAGGGAATGGACGCTCTCCCATACATAGACTTGATTGACCCAGCCGAGATAGATCTACTGCTCATTAGCCAGTGAGTATTCCCTGTCTGTTTTAATTATATTATAGATGCTTGGCCATACCTTCTACACCAGCATTACCAAGACAAGTTTTTCTGCTTGTATTCTGGTGGCCAAATTATGTTGTTTTTATTATATTCTAGACCATGCTCATTAAAGATTTGTCCTTTGAGGTTAATGTACAGTACGTGTCCTCTTATCAGTTTTCATCTGGATCATTGTGGAGCTCTGCCTTGGCTCCTGCAGAAGACCAGCTTTAAAGGCAGGACCTTCATGACCCATGCCACTAAGGCCATCTACCGCTGGTTACTGTCAGATTATGTCAAAGTCAGGTAGGAGCAGAAACTCTCATCTCAATAAGAAACACTCTACTCTGTTGAATTATAATGTAACTTACAATTGCTTTGTTTGTGATTTATTGCAGCAACATCTCTGCAGATGACATGTTGTACACTGAGACTGACTTGGAAGAGAGCATGGATAAGATTGAGACCATCAATTTCCATGAGGTCAAGGAGGTGGCTGGGATCAAGTTCTGGTGTTACCACGCTGGTCATGTGCTTGGAGCTGCCATGTTCATGATTGAAATAGCAGGAGTCAAGGTAATGACTGTTGTTTGTTTCATGTTCAATAACATTTTCTGTTTCAAAGAATCCTGTTGCTACAGAAAAACAACGTTTGCTTAACAAAATCAGTGTCTGTCTTTTTTTCACTGTGAAGCTGCTTTACACAGGAGACTTTTCCCGACAAGAGGACAGGCATCTCATGGCAGCAGAGATCCCCAGTGTCAAACCTGACATCCTAATCATTGTATGACACCATGTTAAAAATCTGTAATTTATTTGAAGAGTACCTTCTGTGGATCTTCAGGTGATCCATAAAATTCTCTTATATTTCTTTCTGCAGGAGTCGACCTATGGCACTCACATCCATGAAAAGAGGGAGGAGCGAGAAGCTCGCTTCTGCAACACAGTCCATGACATTGTCAATAGAGAAGGTCGCTGCTTAATACCCGTGTTTGCTTTGGGACGAGCTCAGGAGCTGCTGCTCATCCTGGGTGAGAAACGTGATTTTTTGGATTTTGATTCTGTTTGTAAATATCCCACTTTCCCAGAGTCCATAAACACTTCCAGCCATTATTTATTACCCTTTGTAATGAGAATATACTTAATATTTGCATTTGCTTACACAGATTTAATCTTTTCTTTTGTATCAGTCACAGCAGTTTGCAAAATTGTGTGTCATGTTTCACTGTAGATGAGTATTGGCAGAACCACCCAGAGCTCCATGATATCCCCATCTATTATGCTTCATCACTGGCCAAGAAGTGCATGGCTGTGTACCAGACCTATGTCAACGCAATGAACGACAAGATCCGCAAGGCCATCAATATCAACAACCCGTTTGTCTTCAAGCATATCAGCAACCTCAAGGTAGAGAATGTTACAGATCCTCAGACTGTTATCTTTAGGCTTAACTATGACTTATCATCTGAATGTGGTATCTGAAAGTAGATGAATATCTGTAACTCGGTGCTGTTTGTTCTTTACAGAGTATGGATCACTTTGATGACATTGGTCCCAGTGTGGTGATGGCTTCTCCAGGTATGATGCAGAGTGGGCTGTCCAGAGAGCTCTTTGAGAGTTGGTGCACTGATAAGAGGAACGGAGTCATCATCGCTGGATACTGTGTAGAGGGCACACTGGCCAAGGTTCGAGCATGACGGGACAGTAGATTAATATACTACGCTTCTGTGTTTCTCAGCCGGAGTGTTATTTGGGTTAATAGTAGATAGATAATTTTCTTGCCTAAAATTATTTACAGCAGTTTGTAGGTAATCTACACTTAAATCAGATGTTTCTGTGTATGCTGTGCAGCACATCATGTCTGAGCCAGAGGAGATCACCACTATGTCAGGCCAGAAGCTGCAGCTGAAGATGTCCGTGGACTACATCTCCTTCTCTGCCCACACAGACTACCAGCAGACCAGCGAGTTTATTAGGGCGCTCAAACCACCACATGTGGTAGGAAAGTGAAAAGGAAATCATCTGTGTGAAATTGTCACTTTTATGCATCCATCATCAGCTGTAAATATAAATGCTTTAATTTTTCTTGACTATAAATCAAGGTCTGCATGTTTATCCCCAGATTCTTGTCCATGGGGAGCAGAATGAGATGGCTCGTCTGAAGGCGGCACTGATCAGGGAGTATGAGGATAATGACCAGGTCCACATTGAAGTCCACAACCCTCGCAACACAGAAGCTGTCACGCTGAATTTCAGAGGAGAAAAACTGGCCAAGGTCAATAAACCGCTTGTTTTTTCTCTTCATAAACACATTTGGATGTACTTTAAAGGATGAAGTCACTCATTCCCATTGCAGCACAGGTTATCTGTTGTTTGCGTTTGTTAACTGCATAAATCCACAATAAGACAAAGACTATTAAAACTGTTCCTCCTCTCAGGTGATGGGCTCTCTGGCTGACAAGAAGTGCGTTCAGGGTCAAAGGGTGTCAGGCATACTTGTGAAGAAGAACTTCAACTACCACATCCTCAATCCTTCAGACTTGTCCAGTGAGTTACCTTCAATTCATGAAATTCACTCTTCCGCAGCACAGGACATCCTGGCATCATATAGTGACCTGAGGTGTGCTTTTCAGCCTACACTGAGCTGGCCATGAGCACTGTGAAACAGACTCAGGCCATCCCCTTCACTGGACCTTATTCACTGCTCGTCTGCCACCTAAGGAATCTCACCGGTAAGGCTGACCTGTTGGTGCGTGTGTGTGCATAAACAACAGATGTTTTCACTTTTACTAGATTTGAGTTTACACCATTGCTTTCTTTGTGTCAGGTGATGTGGAAGAACTGGATGGAACCGAAAAAAACACTTTGAAAATCTTTAAAAATATCATTCTGATCCATGAGGTTGGCATGGTGGTGCTGGAGGTGAGCAGTCAAAATACAGAAAAAAGTAAATATACATTAAGAAACCCAAAGGTAGCATGGAACCTGTGCTCTCCAGAAATGCTGCTGTTAACTCAGCCATCCTCGCTCCTGTTTCAGTGGATAGCTAATCCTCTGAACGACATGTATGCTGACGCTATCACCACTGTAGTGCTGGAAGTCCAGTCGAACCCAAAGGCTCAGAAAGGTCAGTTTGGCCAACTACCAGCATCTGTTTGTGTTTTTAGATAGTTTTAATTAAGCGGAGGATCTGTGTGAGCCGATTTCCTGTTTTACTTCACTCACAAAGGCAAATGAATTATGTCTGGCTAATGGCAGGACTTTGTATTTATGGATTAAGTAAATCAATTTGTGTTTCATGAACAGTCATGGAGACCCAGAGTACCATTATGGACATGGATGTCTTCCAATCCCGGCTAGAGGTCATGTTGCAGTGAGTGCTATAGTATATCTATACTTGTTTACAATATTATATACATGTGACCGAGTACAAGATAAGCAGTACTTTGTTTAATATTGACTTATAGTCCTTATTTGTCCTTGTTTTATCTTTAGGGACATGTTTGGAGAAGAATGTGTGGAGTTCAGTGACGGTAAAATCATCACTGTGACAGTCGACAGGAAGACGCTTCACATTTGTTCAGAAACGAGAGTGAGAAGCTTTCAGCCTGTCACACAGAATAATGTATTTGGTGCAGTATTGTTATTTTTCATTTCTCTTACTGACATTCTTTCCTATCGTCAGTCGGTGTGCTACGAGGACGAATGCACGGAGGACGACTCCCTGAGAGAGATGGTGGAGCTGGCGGTGCAGCGGCTCTATGACGCCCTCAACCCTATCGTCTGAGGACAGAGACAGGAATGCAGGCTTGCAGAGATGTTAGACAGTGAGTTATCAAAGATAAAATTCTGTCAGACGTTAACAAGCAGCTTGTATTGGTGTGTAAAAACTGGAAAATATGGGCTCATGGAGAATTATAGTGGCCTGCCTATCCATAGATGACCACACTACTACAGTACTACAATAGTGTTTTAACTAATTGTTTTATTCCACAAAACTTAATCATAGATTAATCGGCTGCACTGTGCTGATTAATTTGTGCTTTAGGTACAGATTCACATAATTAGGCACTTGTCTGGTCTGGTGTAACTGAAGGGCTCAGCAGCCAATCCCAGTCCCACTTGGTGAACTAGACCGGCCTTTTACTAACTCGGCCACAGAGCTACGTAAGACAATAAATAAGCTATGTAGATAGAAAATGATTACATTGTAGTGGGTTTAATACATATTTAATAAGTTAACTATTTGTGAGTAGATGCACTGTAGATTTTGTTTGCATTGAGTTACTGTTGTGCACTGATAGGACTGACCTCTGTTTACTTTTAACTGTGTCTAAATACACTAAATGTATATGTTCATTGTATAATGCTTAAATAGACTTGTGTTATGTGTGTGCCTTGAATTACTTTGGTTATGTCACCAGATCTGGTCTTTTGAAATTAGGTTGGCAGTTATTGTCTTCTTTTAAATCAGTGTTAATGATGATGGCATTAAGTGTTAAGGACGATGGCACATATAAACAAAAATAAAAGACCTGAGAAACCTTTATTTCACTGTGCCCTGATGGGCACTGATCATAAGTTATTCATTTGTTAAATGACACTTAAGGAAACTCACTGGTAATACCACAGATTTTTTTTTTTTTTTTTTACAATAAATATCTTCCAAGGCACAGTATCTGAGCATATATTTATAGCACATTTAATACCGACATTTAACAGGTACTCAAGGTACAATTGCTCCACACACCCCTGACATTGCTACAGGTATTTCACAAATAGCACTAAGGGTACCAAAAATGCAGCAATTTCTCATGTTTGTTCTTGAAAATTTGCTTCAAAGATGAGTTATAATAGTTTTCCTGTCAAATTAATTGTCTGCATGTCAACTAATTGTTACAGCATACACCTGTTTAATCGTTGGGTGGCAGCTTGCAGCACGACAGTGTGATCTGCATGAATCTGCACTATTGCACTGTGTCACCTTGAACAAAAAGATAATGGCATTTCACTGATACTTAACTGTCCCAGTCTCATTCCACAGAGACATGACAGTGATGGAGTTCAGTTTAACAGCAGTCATATAAGCAGTTTTGTCTCTAGTATGTGATAGATGGTGACAATCCAAGGGTCCCACAGTAAAGGAACGTCACGGCTGTTTCAAGCTTATCATTAAACCAAAGGCCATCGCCAGTAGCACCGCAACTGCCATGTCGGTCATCGTGCCCAGCTTCTTCTGCCTCTCCTGTTTCTGGCTCAGCAACTCCTCTTTGCGGAGTCGGATGTCCCTTTGTCTCTGCAGCTGCTCGCTGTAGTGCGACTTGTAAAAGTGATCAAAATCGAAGATACCTCCTCGGTAGTCTACGCCCATCACTGACCGTCGCCTCTCGGGTTGCGGTTTCGCGGAGCTCCCGATGGTGTCCTTGGCGGAGGGTCTGGTGGTTGCGGTGAGGTCTGCCTGGCTCAGCAGTCCCCGGTCATATTTCTTCCTCAGTGTCGTGTTTCCCAACACCGTATAGGCCTCACTGACCTCAGCGAAGCGGACAGTAGCCTGCTCGCTCCCGTCGTTTCTGTCCGGGTGGTAGACGAAGGACTGCTTGTAGTAGGCGGTTTTTATCTGGGCTCGAGTGGCTGTAGGTGACACCTCTAGGATTTCATAATAGCCTGTTTTGGTTTTATAAAGGGGCTCCGATCTAGTTCCGTTGACACTGTAAGCCCTGGTAAACACAGACTGTCCCTGTCCCCAACATGAATGCCGACTACTGAAGTCCTGGTGTGGACGAACAGAGATGCAAGAAGTCCTGCGAAACTTGGCATTACCCCGGCACCAGTTTCTTGCTATATTTTCACCTAGGGTCTCGTTGGAAAGTGAATAGGCCCCAAGTCCATCGTTGGCAATAACGTTACCCAACAGCTGTGCTACCGGTGTGTAGCTGCGCTGTGAAACTCCAAGGGTCACTGTGTCCGCAGCATTTTCAGCTCCATACTGTTTTCCGTTAACCAGAGAAAACCCGGTCGACATATAAAAAGTCTTTATTGCACTTTCACTTCCCTTTTTCTGACTTTCCACCAAGTAACGATTTGTTTTTTGTGCAAAGTCGTAGACTGCCCTGCTTCTAAAAGGCAACCTGACATCCGCCATTTTTTGGATTTCCGGGTTCATGAGGGAGGTTCTATCTGCAGCGCCCCCAGTGGTGAGTATGAAGAAGGGAACGATTACCTCATAAACGATGCCTAGAGTTAAGCCTGTTTTGTTATATTTACCCAAAAAATGTATACATATTTTTTTCTTGAGAAAATCTGAATCTTTGAAACTTGTTAAATTTGCATAATATTCCCCAAAAGCTTAAAAAGGAACACTTTTATTTTATAATCTATAATGTTTCTCATATTTTTTTTTACCACGTATCTTGAATGTTTTAGCATTACAATTTTTTTTTCTTGTGTGCATTCAGGTGTGGGACAGCATTGTGCATCAGCAGCATGCTAAAATAATCAAGTATTTTTAGCGTGCATAACCATTTTTCTATTTCATTATTTCATACTATATACACTGCTCAAAAAAATAAAGGGAACACATCAGATCTAGGATGTCTTATGTTGTGTTCCCTTTATTTTTTCGAGCAGTATATATTTTTTTACTTTTCCAATGTGGAAATAACTGCATACTCAAAATCGTTTACATTAATATGGAATGTGAAATAAAGCCCCAATTTGGGGCATATACAGTATTTTGAAAGGTATGAGGATTTACCAACAGGGTGGCACTCGCAGCAAAGACCGCAAGTCACTTTTTTTTTAAACTTGAAACTGATGAAATATCGCACAATTTTGACCTACTTACTTCCGGATTTTTTTTTTTTTACTGGCTCAGAATTTATTTATTTTTGCTATTATTTCTTGCCTGGTGGAAATGGGTTGCTAAGATATGAGTCATGATGTCAGACGTTTATTAGGTAGGCTGTATGTGCACTAATAGGTCAGCCTGATAGGAGTGAGCAAATAAATCTGAACAGCACAGACGTATAATAGCTATCACAGGAAAGCATCCAGCCGTGTTATGTGCTTGAGTGACAATAACTAGAAAAAATATATGGCAGAGAGAAACGAAGTTGAGGAATATTGCCAGAAGTAAAAGTGTTTTGTAAGCTTCGATTTTCTGAACACTTATCTGATGATAAGCAGCACGGTGCTATAGCAGACTGATCCAGAAGGTGGGAGGAATGTAGCAAGGATGCCGGCTTTCTTAAAACACCAAAGAAGAAGACTTTTCAGTGCAGCCAGCCAGATCCTCCTACCCGCAGCTTTACAATGTACAAGTTCAAAACGGTTATTTGGCCTAAAGTGATTTTATTTGGGGACTCCATCACACAGGTTTGCTCCTGCATTAAAATTCATTTAGAAGAATATTGCATTATTAAGTTTACGTTATTCGTTTAGCTAATTAGTTGGCATGGGCTGCTAGCTTGCTAGCTAAAGTTTGAAATTGGCTAACGATGTTGTTTCTTTCAGTTTTCTTTTCAACCTAATGGCTTTGGAGCAGATATTGCCAACAAACTTGCCAGGTGGGTACTTCGTACCTATTGGGGGTTTTTTTGTCTGTTTTTTTTTTTTATCTTTATCATAAACAGATTTTACTAGAACAAATGTGGGCTTTTGTATCTTGTGTGCAAATCAGGTAAGAAACCAGATGAATGACTTCGACTAATATCTGAATATGACACATTTTTCTTTCAGAAAGTGCGATGTTGTAAACAGAGGGCTGTCTGGCTACAACAGCAGGTGGGCCAGCATAGTTCTTCCTCGTCTTATCAACAGCCAGAACTCGGCGGACGGTAACATAGCTGCCGTCACCGTCTTCTTTGGAAGCAACGACTGTGCACTTAAAGGTACAACTTCACAAGCAGAATATGAACTGTAGTAATACTGTGTTTGTTGTTGCAATCACAATATTACCAAATTTAGATCCCTGCTTTCTTTTTGCATAAAGGAGCACTGCAGCTGTCTTTTAAAGGAGTAGGATACAGCTTTCTAAAGTTGAAGTCATCTGGGTAGAGTATACTGTACTAATCTGTAAAGTGTACTGTTTTTGCAGTTAATGTACAAGAAATCACAAATACTTAACAGCTAACAAGATATAATTCAAATACATTTTTAGGATGCACTACCAAATATTTTTGTTTGTGTGATTTCTTATGAAGATAGCTCACTACCATCTGCAGTTAATTTGAAATTTTTTATGAGGGAGACCTGCTTTTTCATTATTTCCTTGTGAGAAAATGTTTATAGGATGTGTTGACCTCTACTGCTTAGATTTGGAATATTCTTACAATAATCTGTCCCTTGCAAGTCCCTCAACTTGATAGAATTAAAATAATAATACATTTTGTTTATATAATTTATATTTTGCTTCTTTTCCGCCTGTTCCTGTTGCACAGATAAAAACCCCCAACAGCATGTCCCACTGGAGGAGTATTCAGAGAACCTTAAGAAGATAGGGAGTCTTCTGGCTTCAGCTGGAGTGTCTGTGGACAAAGTTATCTTTATCACCCCTCCACCTGTTCATGAGCCAGACTGGGAGAAGCAGTGTATTCTGAAAGGTAACACTCATTCAGTTTTTTTTTCTCTTGTTAATAGATGGTCACACAAATCCTTTTTAGACTAAGGCCTACAAAGATCATAAGTGCTGCTTTGTGTCTGTTCCAGGATGTCCTCTTAATCGCCACAACTCTGTAGCAGGGCAGTATGCCCAGGCCTGTGTCCAGGCTGCTGCTCAGTGTGGCATAGATGTCTTGGACCTCTGGACACTCATGCAGAAAGATGGACAGGTGAGCATAGTACATCACTACTCCATATCATTAACTTAGAGACCTTTTAATTTTTAAAATTTTTGGTATGTGAATCAGCAGACAGTTGAAAAATGATAAAGTATTAGCATAACAATATACAAATTATGCAGAATGGCACATTTTGCATTATTTGCATCATTATTGATGCATGATTGTATACATTAATGTTGTAGCTGGTAAACGTGGAGGTATTGAACTTTTTATGATTGACAGTCTTGGTAGAACAGTGTAGGTGGCTGGCCAGCTGAGCAGACCTGGCTGTCACAGGTGATTGCCTTCCAAGCCAGTTGAGCCAACCACTGCTTAAGATGAGTGAACACAATGCATACTGATACTGTGTCAAGTCACATTTCTGCTCTTTGCTTGGGTGAGGACAGGATTCAGGGATGCTTTGTGTTAAGGGTAGGTTAGCATTGGAAATTTTTTGACAGAATGGCCTGACAGCCCCCTCTTTGGGGCCAAATAATAAACATCATTTAACTTGTATACTGAGATTTCATATGAATGCTCACCCATTCTTTGGCACATGGAATAGTGTATTATACTTTTTATGCTTATCTGAATTACTGCTGGGTAGCTTATGAATTTCCCACAGAAGATCAAGTCCTGAGATTATACAGTATTTTGTTTTATTAATCCGATTTTGAAAAGAAACTAATAATTTATCAAATGTGGCGGAGTAAAAATAACTTACTGGGCTTTTGAAATTTAGTGAAGTCCTAGTATGAAGCAACAGAAAATGGAAACACTGGAGTGAAGAACAGATAACCTGTATTTAAATGTACTTACTTTCCATCACTGTAGGTCAGAGTACTTAAAAAAAAAAATTTCAAAATAGATTGAGATGCGCTTAATTGATTGCAATGAGTTTTGTGAAAAATTTGCTACATCCCATTAATCTTTGAAAACTGATTTGAAACCTTTTGTGCTCTTCTCTACAGGACTACACAGTCTATCTTTCTGATGGGCTGCATCTCTCAGAGAAGGGAAACCAGTTTGTGGCCCAGCACCTGTGGGGGCTGTTGGAGAACCGTGTGGCTGACCTGCCGTTCATCCTACCCTACTGGGGAGACGTGGATTCCCAGAGCCCTGAGAGCAGCCTGCTCTGTGACCAGTGATAAGGTCGGTGGACATTTGGGAGAACGTTCTTTAAGATGCAGCTGATCCTGCAGGACAGGACATTCTATAGAGAGCATGACACTGGACGGCATTTATACTGTGACACAGCTGTGATTTGAATCTACCTGTATGTTTAAATGTAAGTCCATGTAATGATGTTTAAAATACACAATAAAGACTTTTATTTAGAGATGGGTAAAGGTAATGGAAGCCAAAAAAAAAAAGAGAGCAAGGCCAAACATAGCTATAGACAATAATATGCACATTATCATGGTATGAAACAGTTCACATCCATCCTGCAGTCACAGTCTAGTTTTTGTCTTGACCTACTAGTCAAATACATATTGAACACATGACAGCAGGCAACAGTAGTGAGACAGCATTAAGTAAGAGGTCCAAACTTCACATGGCACAATGACAGAGAACCATGGGGACGAAACGGTTTCTCTTCAAATGAAATTCAGGATTGTCCAGAGTCATGTTTATCTACTGGGAATTTTCCCTGTTTGTACAGAAATGAGTGTGCTCGGAACAGTTAGGCACAAAATCAGAAAAGGCACCATGTTTCATAGAGTTCAACTACACAGATGGTACATGACAAAACCATCACTTTTTTGGAGTCTTAACAGAGAATATAACGTTTTTATAAAAGTTTCAACACCTGGACAAATGTAATACTGAAGAGACTAGCACAGTATTAAAATGTTAGGTACAACAGGGTCACAATATTACATGCGTCCAGTTTTGAAAAGAAACCACTGATAACACACAGCACAGCAAGTACATTTATGAAAGTTAATTGTCCAGTGATGTGAAAAATACCTAAAGTGCAGTTATGACAGATTCAGAATAAACAGTTGTATCCTCCTGCCTAATATACAGCATCATGCTGAAATTTTTGCTGTTGTGGGGATAATCCACCGCTAAAACATCAATGTTGATATCTTTCCGCTCTTAGTGTCAGCAAAGCAAATGGGTGAGGTTGTATTGCTTTAATGACAGTACTTTGTGCACAACGTTTTTGGTGGGGGTGATGACAGAGCTCATAATCGCACTGTGTGGGGAACTCGCCTGTGGTAGATTTATTACCACTGATCTCAGATCTCACAGGATTCATCTAGATCACTTACCTAATTGATAGGGCATGGTCTCATTTCATCATGGGCACACGGAAACAGCTAGAATTACCTGAAAGAATGTCCTTAGATCTGTTAATCATGTTCTTTAAAACACTTCCCATGTTGCATGGGCATGTTGGTGCTTTTAAAGTTAAAGTACTGGTGTTTTACTCAGCACTCTGTCTCTTTGCTGTCAATGCGGTCCTGCCTCTTGAGGCGCCGCCGGTCCCTGGCTGGCGGATTCTGTTCTGTCAGATCCTCGTAAGAGGATTTCGTAGCCGACGAGCAGGCTCCTGCGGTTGTGAAATCGTCCTCTCCCAGGTGCGAGTCGCTGCTGGGGTCCTCCTGGATGGTGGCCATCCGCAAGCCCCCTGCGCTGTCCGGGGTGAGGCCGCAGTTCAGGCTGGGGGCCAGGGTGCTGCTGCTGGTTGTGGGAGGGGCCCCGACCTCGCTCAGCTGCTGAGGCAAGGAGGAGGGCGCGGTCCGGCCGGCGAAGAAGGAGGGAGGCTTGACGATGCGCACGGACGTTGACTCGAGGTTGCTCAGGATTTCTTGACTCTAAAGAGTGAGAACAACAGGTGAGACAGAAGCGCATCAAAGCTGTCGATGACTGAGGTGAGATGAGATCCATTCCTTTTTTTTTTTTTTACTACATTCTGGTAAATCAGACCAGCACATATTTCTCCTAAATTTATAGTTTAACATCCTGACATAAGTAGTGTTGTTAAAGCCCTCATGTTTTATTTCGATGATAACTATCTGCTATCTACATTAACATCTCCGGTACCCCCAGTAAATGTGGGAATGAGTAAAACAAACGTTTCTCACAGTGGACATTGTGTTGTCAGAGGTGGAACTAGTTACTAATGGCTGGCATCCACTTATAGGCACCAAGGCCCTGATATCATGCATGCTGGCTCACTTTCAGGCACCTACATGGAATCAAGCCATCAGAATGTTATTAGCTGCTTGTGTGCTTTTTCTGTTAAGTCAAAATGTCTACTGTGAGAAAGGTCTATAGAGGAATGTGCCCTCAGTCTCCAAATGTTCTCGGTCAAACCTAAAGGAGGACTTAACACAGTGCAGACAGCAATTACAAAAGAAAATGGACGGGTGAAAAAGAAAAAACAATAACCCTCTGATTGCTGTGGCTGTGAACGGCAGCAGATGCAAACTGAAAATGTTGACACACTGCATCTGATTTCACAAAAGACAACAAGGTGCAACTTGTTCTCTCCTATCTGTTTGAATACTCCTAAAATGCAATCTTGCTTTCTTGAGGTAATTTCTGATCAGTGAGTCTGCATTGGTGATCTAGGCAGAAGAACAGAAAGCTATTCGGTTACTTTAAACTGCTAGTTTAACTTTGATCCTCTCTCACTTTATCTCTCAGATGAAAGACACAGGTGAGTATGAGGGCTGGAAATGTGCATCCAGATCAGTGATTACATCAAGGAGTAAGTGACTGCTGGAGTATCCCAAACGTGGGCCACTGACCATGCATCATCATGGACTCAATGGCAACGCATTGAAACACCAAGCCACGGCACACACACTCACCTATGGCGGGAACTCTATTAAAAACTTCCACCATCTGCTGCAGTTCCGGTGAGAGTGGAAAGGGCCAAGGCAAAGAGTGATGGACAGGTCAATCGCAGCTTGAACGCAGCACTGACGGATAACCACTGGTTCGTACCGCTTTAGCCTACAGCTTTGTGTCCTGCTTTCTGTTTTTAAGGCTGAGTCAGGACTGTTTGGGAATGATGCTGCAAATTGTTTATTAGGTTTAAGAGTATGAATGTTTTGCAGTAGCACATATCATAGACAATACATATGTCAAGGCACCTGTGATGCCAGAAACAGTATTTTTGAAGGTCCTGAAAACTTGCTTTCAGATCCCATGTTTAAACAACAATATGCACGAATGAAAATTAAAAAAATTACTTTCCTCAGCAGGATTTTCTCTAAACTGACATGACTAGACTAATGGTGACAGATCACGTGGAGATCTGGGAACAGATGCAGAGAAAAGGCAAATACCTCATCCTGAGAAATCAAGCTTCATGCTGTTAAAGTTGCCAGTGTTATCAAAAAGTAATGTGGGATTGTATTAGTACGTTAGTGTGGCAGCAAGACTAGTGTACAGCATCATAAATGAACATAGAGATGAGGAACTTACACTGGGCGGGTGATAAAAGGACTTTGTGTTCTCCTCATACTGTTGGTCAAGTCGTTGGTCCTGCACAACAAAACAACAAGGGCAGCACTTAATTTACTTTGCTAACCGAGTTTGGCTGGTAAAGAAGAGCTCTGTCAACTACAGAGCTACAGAATCCAAGAGTGGTCAATGCATGCTAAAGACAGTGGAAAACAGTATAGATCCAGCAGTTCCTTACCACACAGTGAACCAAGATACTGAGAGGAATCCAGAAGATGAGGGAGAACACCACAACTGAGCCCACTATGTTATCAGCCAGGAACTTCCCTGATGGAAAGACGAAGGTGGTCATAGCAGTGCAGACATAGTATTCCAGATTTTCATGTTAATTTAAATTTGAAAACAGCCTATTGCAAGGGGCTTACCAAATGTATTAATGTCCAGCTTGTCGATAAAATCCCACAACCTCTCAATCACATCCTGTACCTGCTTCATGCACTTTCCCTGTTTTAACAGAAGTTGACACTCCACAAATATCCAAATAAAGCAAAATCAATAAACTCATTGTAACATTCTTATAACCTTTCAAGGTCAATCTAAGAATAAAAGACTAAGCACGATGTGAATAAGCTAAGACTGGCTGGAATCCTGTCTGTACAGTGGTTTATAAAAGGTGTGGTTACTCACGCCCCCATCACAAAAGCCCACTGTGCAGGGTTTTCCTTTACGAAGGTAAAGCAAACTCCCATTGATCTGGACAAAGGGAGCGCATCTGCCGTCTTTTCCCCTGCAGCACACTTTACAGGAGTTCTCAGTTTCTGGAAACAGGAGAGAAGAACAGTTTTTAAGTTTTACACCACTGCAAAGATGTCTGTCAGTACCACCCATTAAAAGCAGGTGTGCACAGGATATCTTCAGTTTGTTCTTTAGAATAGATGGAGAGATTAATTCTGACAGGACTCACTCATTTAGGCATTACCAAGCTAAACAGACAGATTATACTAAAAGGTTTCATTCTATTGCTGACAGGAGTTGATTGACAGGAAATATGTCATGTACTGTCGACCTGTACTGTTTACATTCTCAGTTTGACTGTTGACTACTGCTGCACATGCTGCTCCCATGTAGCATACATTTTCTTATTATATTCTTATATATTTTTATTATATCTGTATTTGCTGCTTAAAGTGCCTTAGATTTTGTGTTACTTATTCATCTACTTTATTTCATGGCATTCATGTGGACGGCAAAGTAAGAATTTCATTGTACAGGGAAACACGTTTCCTAACTGTGCATATGACAAATAAACACTTTGACTATTGCTCTTTGACTGTTTATTGCTGTTATTGACCACATTATTCCAAAAGTCAACTTCAACTTTTTATAAGTTGGAATTCCTGCACATTTTCCTCCTAGTCCTGTAACAAATCAAATGCTCTTACCATTACAGGCGCAGGATTGAAGTTTCTGCATGGCCTCACAGAATGGGTTGCACTCTCCTTTGCGACATCGGCCATTGTCAACACACACGGTGTTGTCAGGTGCATTTTCTGGAGGTGGACATTCACTGCTGTTGCCTAAAATGTAAAAAAAAAAAAAGTTGAGATATAGTTTTCAGAGTACTTTTATACGTCATTTAAAAAAAATGTCCAGCACTACTGAAAAGAGCATTTCAGTGTTCATTGCAGGTCTTGTGTTAGACCAGCAGAGGGCGATCACCTGTGCAGTAAGATGTGCCTTTACAGGTAGCACTAATTGGTTCCTGGCACCTTCTTCCTGCTTGCTCAAACTTGCAGTTCCTACAACAAGGGCTGTTTCTGTCACTGTGGAGAGAGGAGGAGTGTTATGGAACAGTATGCATGTAGACTTGAGAGTGTTATCTTTCAGATCTCATACCTGCACTGTGCACTACGTTGGAACTTGCAGTCGGACGAGCAGCAGGGATCATCATTGAGATGAAGTAGTCCGGGGTCACACTCCTCCCCATCCTCCACTCTGGAGTTCCCACATACCTTACTGTTCCTCTCCTTGAAGCATATGGGAGCTTTGAAGCGTAACGTCTTTCCTACGGAGATCTTGCTACAGTTGGAGAAACGCTTTAGGAAGGAAAGACAAATAGGTGTTAGATATTGAAGGAGTGGACAGTGGCGACATGCAGCTAAAATACTAGAATATAACAAGATTTCAACTGCTATTTATTCACAAATAGTTGCATAGATAAAATGTAAGTGAAATGGTTGCTGCCGGCAGATTTTTTATTTATTTTTTTTTTTTTAATAGCAGCATTTTTAACCCATGCAGACATCTTCAAACGCAGTGCACTAGCACTTTAGTAGCACTTTTCACCTTAAACTACAGCAAATATCCTATTGCATATTAGCTGTCTGTTATATTTCACAGGAACAACTGTGACTCACATTCATCTAACACTGTATAAGCAACCCATTTACATTTTTCTTTTTTGCTATACACTGTATATGTAGCGGTTACAAGATTGCTTCTGCAATTCTACTGTGTATTGAAGTTGGATGCCATTCTGGACCAGTCTGTACCTTGTTGTTGACGTGGTCTCCGCTCACAGCAATAGGGTACATGACAAACTTCCCTCCCTGGTCATCACTGGGAGCACAATAAGGGATGTTGTCAGGGTCGTGCTCTGCTCCAAAGTTATGGCCCAGCTCATGAGTGGTTACCAAATCTGCCTCCTGATGTGACACAAACACACCAGATCTTTATAAATGTACTGTTTACAACTGAGAACAAAAAAAATTCTATGCGGCCACAAATACAGGACTGCCACCATGTATAAACTCTTGAGATGCTGGTGTTGCTTGGTGAACTCATATACAGCACATTATAAAAGTAACAAGACCGATTTCATTGACAAAAAGTATTTATGTATTCATAGAGGTTCCAAAAAATGAATGCTCTGATACTTTACTGCAAACTGTGCAGGGCAGCAAACGGGTATCAAAATGCAATAGGGTTGACATTATTACTCATAACACCCACAAAAAAGGTGTGTCTGCCTCACTTACAGTCTTAAATCAGAAGGTTGACAGGTTGTGTAACATCCTGGCTGAACCTGTTTGTACTCAGCATTTAGTTTTGTTAAAGATGACAACTGGAGATAAAAACAGACCTTTGTGAGGATGGTTTTGCCATAGTTCTTGGTGCTGGTCAAGCCTGTGTTGAGGTAACTGGGCTTCTTCACAGATTGAGATGGGTAGTAAGCTACACAGTGACACAGAGAAATATGTCAGGATTTGTTTTTCTTTATAAAACCCCCAGGTTCAAACATGCAGCTTTCTGTTTCAGTGTAATGATTTTTGCCTGAGTTTATGACTATTGCCAGAGCAGATTTCATTAGTTAACAAGTGGTGCACAGTTCTACTAGAAGCCTTACACACTCCTTGCACTTTGGATAAATTTAACAGATCTGATTATGCAGAAACATAGATGGTATCTAAAACACAACTGATATATTTCACTGGCATAGTAATGTTGCATGATGTAATGTTTATATAGCATTAACTGTGTTGTTTCTCAAAACAAGGCCATTTTTCCACTAAGGGGTGTGTCCTTACCTTTTGGGCAGAGGCCACCCAGGGCATTATGTTTGGAGGGGGCCACATAGGCCAGGCCCAGTGTGCCCTCATCAAAATCCTGGTAGGTAAACAGGTGGGCCAGACACACGGTGGAGGCATTGTCAGCTATGTCTGAGCTGAATTGCTGGGGGACAAAAGGAGAACTATTATCCGTCAACATTTGTACAAGTCACAATGAGTTTTACTAATATCAGCAAACTTAAGGACATTAACATTCTAAACCACATTTATCACAAATCAACCCGACTTAAATTTGACACCATGAGGATAAAATGCAGTTATGATGCAAATTTCTTCATTAGGTGACCCTGAACCACTGCAATTATCATCACTCAAACTGCAAATAACATGGTAGAGACATACCAGTACTGGGTTTTTATAACAGATAACAGTATTGTACTGCCGTTTCATGTCTGTGACAAGCTTCTACTAACATGAATGTACAGAGCTATCTAGTGCCAAGGTTTTGAGTGAAAACAGCACCGCTGTAGTTCCCAACCCCCATTCCTTTTGTGATCCTCACACTAACAGACTCCTGCAGACTCACAGCGAACTTTGCCTACTGTCAACATCTTTTTTCTGTCTGTACATCTATCTGTCAGTCTCCCTGTCCTACCTCGAGAAGTTTCTTCACGTCCCAGACATCTTTTCCTTTCACAGGGCTGTTCTCCATGTTATAATGGAGCCAGTTGGTGCCAGAATTGCCATTGGGAGGCTTTGTAGGCTCCTTGTTGATGATGATCTGAGAAAGGACATTTATGTACACACAGACATTTATGAACAGTTCCTCAAATGTAAGTAAAGAATGATGAATTATTTAAAGAATTTAAACAAACCTTAGCATATCGATTCCTAATTAATGTAAAACAGTCCAGATGCATAAAACACAGCAATTTCATTTTTCAAATGACTCAAATTATAAATCAGTTTACTACAATACAGATTGTCAGAAGTGGCTTAATCCCAGACATATAGTATCAGCTTTATTACATTAAATTATTATTGTCATCATGTTAAGTAGTTTGTGTTTTAAACCATTTTCCTGAAGGACTTGGTGTTAAAAGTGACACATGACAAGTTCTTCTTGACATTTATGTTGAAGAAGACTGGAAAATAACTTAATGAATGCATATCTTCTCAGTGAGAAAGCTCGGAACTCACAGTATGACAAACAGTGTCTCCATTCATTCCCAAAGCCTGTGGAACAAATTAAATTACCCGACGAAACACACAAAAGCTTTCAGTTCCTCCTAAAAACACTGCTGTCAAGCCCAATGAGGGACTGTGCTAATTTCAGCTACACTTCCCAGACGGACACTGCGTGAAACAAAGCCATCATGCTGCTGGGTGCGGCGTTGTCTAATTCTATAGTACCACAAACTGGTCCAGAAGTTAAGACATACACACCTGATGAATCTGAACCCCGTAGCCTTTGAATTCATCATCCCAGGTTGTGTTTCTATAAATGTCATCAACTCGATCAATCAGCTCAATCTGTAGTAAGAAAAGAAAAAGAATGATATATGTACAGAAATATATAAACAATACAACAAAATATAAAATTCTCATTTTTAACAAGTATATTAGAGAGTGATGACAACTTGCAGATTTTTTAATTTGGCAATAAAACTAAGGTGTGGAAATCATTATCCATTAAACACCCCATGGTTACATGTTTAACCTTTACACGGGGAATTTTCTAAGCACTACTGAAGCAGGTTTTATACAGAGTATCATGAAGTCAGACCAGGTAGTTGAGAGTGATGCTCTCTTGTCCACGGCCCATGTGTTTAAAGAAGCGGTAATCAGCAACCAGCAGCAAGGGGCAGGTATTCTTCTTGTGGTCGTGGGCCTGTCTCTTCTCTCTGTGGTGGTACTCTACAAGAAGCAGTAGCATAGGGGTGGTTAGAGAAAGAAAAATGGTCATAGAAGGGCAAAAGGTTCTGTGTATTTCCATATTCAAACATATGTCAAGGGCTCGCTTACATAAAGTCATCAGGAAATTAAACAATGAGGCCACGCTCCAGTATCCTTTGGTTAATTGCCCTCAATTTCACATTTAGTAACAGGTCTTCATTTTTGCTCGTCGTCTGTGAACTGAATAAGCTCTGCCTCTGTTCTTCAAGCCAGAATTAAACTGCGGTTTAGAGGCCTGAATGCATAGCGGTGAGCATTAACGAGGTCCACTGTATATTCTGGCTACTACACTAAACTGAAGCCAATTTCCCTCACAGATCATGCAATGTGTAGGTTCAATTATCCAGCTGGAGCAGTGGTATGAGTACTCTCAGGTTTTCACGTTTATAAACCAATGATTCTGTGTTAAGTCTGTTACCACAATTACTTCACTATTCCTAACAGATGAGGCAATGCTCATGCACAATGCATCATCTACAATATAGGGTGTCAACTCTGTAAAGCTAATTCTGCAGGTTGCAACCAATGATTACCATAAATAATCAATCAGTGGTTCCTGAAACTACCAAAATTGGCCAAGTTGAACTTCACTGAAATACGGTAATAATATAAAGAACATTAACCTGCATTCGACAGGACTGATTCTTTTAGACACTTTCAGGTTCATTTAATTTTAGAAGTGCACCACAATTTTTTTGCAAAGCATAGAGTGTCTCCTAAATTGCATAAATGATCAAAATCACTTAGGTCTGATTTACAGGGTTCATGAGATAATATCTGGGATTGGCTATAGCCCCCCCGCAAACCTATTCAGGGATAAGCAGTATAGATAATGGATGCATAGATGGAGATAAAGATAATATCTTAGGGATTTCTTTAAAGCATTTTGTAAAGATGCTGCTCCTTCATACTATATGGGAGCATCATACAGTTCAGTTCAAAACCAGGGTGTTAGATACATACTGTATATACACATGTAATTACCATGCAATACACAATCTATATTTATTATACACATTTGAATTTGATACTCAGAAATCCTGAAGAGATGCCTTTTCATACATCCTACACTCTGCACAGTCAGTAGTTTAAGAACAACAGAAAAAGACAACAGGAAGACATTTGAGCATTACATCATACTATACACTTGGCTTTACACTGTTCAGGAGTGTAGGTGTGAACCGTTTTGGCTTCCACAACAAGCAGTGGGAGAGCAGTGACCACTCCGAGTCATCTCACTGGGCAGCAGAGCCTCCATGAATTTTAATGCCTCCTCCATAAGAACCTTCACCTTGACTCATCGCCCCAACGAGTGCTTTCAACCAGTGAGAGGTGTTTCAGATGATCTCCTCTGGCACATTATCACTGTTATATGCTTTACAAATCCAAAGACATTTGGTTTTTACATAATACCCGCTTGTCAGCAGTGTGTATGTGCATAACACAGGCTAGATAAAAAGGCTTTTATTAAAGTGATTGTTACAGAATGTAACGCCCACCTCCTTTGTCTCACTACTACAGCCTACAGCCTCCTCCTCCTTTCTTTCCTCCTTAAACATTTGCTATCCTCCTACTCTTTTTTTAAACTACTCTTTACCATCCACAAACAAGAGGATAGAGCATAGGCTGTGAGCTCCATCCCCTTATATACCCCTATCTTTCTCCTATACATTTTCAATGCATAAGCAAAAATATGAACACGTATTTAAGATTCTCCAGCCCCACCGAGGGGAAAAAAGAGAAGACCTCACCCTTTTCCTGGTTCACTTCCTCTGGCCCATCCCAGACCCTCCTGGCAGTCTGCGGCAAAAGGTCACTGGCCTTTGCATGGATGTAACCGCACACTTTGGGAGAGACGATGCGGCTCAGATTCTTGATGTCATCGGAGCGATAAACGAGCAACCTGCCATCAGCTGGAGAATCCGTAAACCTCCACAGGGGCTGGGCGGCCGAGAATAAATAAATAACAAGGAGTCATCAAAAAGAAGAGAGGTTGAGAGAAAAAAGATAAGGCAACAAAAACAGACGAACATATAGATGTAACGATATAATGACGAATGATATGTGAGGAAAAACAGGATGGGCAAAGGTATAATGAAATGAAAAAGAAACAGCAATGGGCATGGATGTGCAGAGGTGTGGAACAGAAGTGAAGATAAAATGGCTTTCTTTTACATACCTACGCTTTAGACTGGGTGAATGAGATGAGATAGTAAATATTTTCCCCATGTATAAAATATTGTATGCTAAGACAAACTGGGAAGCACAAATTCTGTAATTGTTTTCCATCTCCTGCAATATCTTTGAGACCAACTATAGATAGTTGCTGCACTGATAAACCAAGAAGCCTGCAGCTAGATTAACTGAAAAACTTACCAGTACAACGCTGTAGCAGCATATTCACTGAATACAAGAGTATTTCATGAACAGAGATTTTTATGATTGGTAACATTGATAAGGTCATCACGGCTTCTCTGCTGTCCAACCACAGTGAAATGCTCAGGTTTTGTCCCACAGAAAATACTAAATTCTCAGTATCTACTCTGTTGGAATTCTATACAAGGAAAAAAAAAAAAAAACCAAAAAGGTTTTACAGTGGCTACTTACCTCAACATTGTACTCTGCTTCATCGGTTAGTATGTGAGCAGAAAACTCATCTCCATCTATGTGTGCCTGCACACGTGAATTCTCATCTCCTGTAGACACAAAACAGATGAGGCTACTATTATAAAATGATTGACATATACAGACTAAACCCAGCAATCTATTAAGAAAAAGTGCACATATATATTAATGTACTATCATGTCAGTATCATTTTAAAGTTGTATTGTCATCGGCCCAACATTACAGTTAACATTCAGCAAATTATTCGATCGCAATTACTCAGACTAGGGGCCTAAAAACGTATCCGTCAAAATGAACTTCATATGTACATGCAAACTCAGGCTGTATTCACACAGAGGTTGTTTTAACACAGCCCCCTGCATGAATAAAATGCAGGGAAAGCTATTGTTTGGGGTGTAATGTTTCATGTACTGGTGAGACAATGAAATATGATCCAGGAAGTCCAGATGAGGAACGGATTTATGTGTATTAGATGCCAAAAGACAAACAATGGTTTGAACCACTCAGAGACATGACAACTCTGTAAAGTTATCCCATTAGCAAGTGTTTTAGCTTTGGTCATGAAGGTAAAGAGAAGAAATACATCACTCATGTTACAGTAAGTAATGTAGCAAAAATGCACTAGCATTTACAGGATGTCAAGTTGCTTTGCAAAAAATGCTGAACCAGATTCAACTTTTTTTCCACACGACACTGTGACATTTAGTGTCAGGCCCCTGTGGTGTTGGGTTCTACACTGCCCCAATCAAATGAAGGGCTGCAGTTTTTCTACACAGAGTGAACAGTGTATGAACATAACCTATGACTCTTAGACAATGTAGGAACAAGGAAAACATTCTATTTTTATAATGAATATATTGGTGCATCCCTAATCCTACAAGTCATCCACTCACCAACAACATGTCCAGTGAAATACTTCTGAAGATGAACATCGTAGTTCTCCTCCCTCCCATTTTTATCGACAAACACAACTTTGAAGTTGTCAGTAAAAAGGTCTGTGTTGGTGGTCAGGTAAAGCTTGAAATTCCTGGAGTCAAACAGAGCAGATGAAAATGCTATCTACATGAGCTCAATCATGATGACATGACAGGCTTCAACACTGTGATGAGTCATACTGAATGTAGTGGCGCAAAAGGTTTTCATTTAGTTTTGTCTTTCTCTCCCTTTTGCACTTACTTCTCTTTTGTTTGTGTTTTGGGAGATAAAATAGAGAAACCAAAACATTCATGATTTGTAAACATGTGTAAAACCACAGTCAAATGTAATGCATCATGTAACATGTTATCCCATGTTTAAACTAGAATCATGTGTATTGAAAAGTTTTAAAGAGGCCAAATTTCCGTTTCAGAGAAATAATAATGCCAGCTGGCTTTTACATTGGAGGTGCACTATGAGAATAATTTCTTCACAACCACTACAGACACACAAAATTATTACAACAATCCGTTTTGTATGCAAACAGGAATTTGATTTCTGCTTTTCTACAGACCTGAAAATGTGAACTTTACCTTGCACCATTGCTACTATCAGGTAGGCTTATGTCAGACATGTTGCTGTACCTGTGCAGGGCTCTGAAGCTCACCAGGCGCTCCAGGTGGGACTGGGTGTGGACGTCCCTCTTCCTCACAGAGTGCAGCTGGAGGCCTGATAATGGCAGCACCTCAAAATCTACCAGAATGGATTTCAGAGAATCTGAAAGACACGGAGATGCGGCAGCAATCTTACAGCACCAGTCAAGAACCGTGTTTGTTCATTTAAAAGACTAACCTGGAGCTGGCAGGCTGCTTCCTAGGCTGATATACTATGGTTTTATTAGGCCAGGTATAAATTCACTCACATTTTGCAGTATGTTTGACAAATAACAGTTTGTAATCACAGTAAATACAACGGAACATAAGCTAACTGTTACGTTAACCATTATTTAACGTTACGCTCATTTAGCGTTCATATTAAATCTAGCGTTAACGTTAGCTTGTTGAATTAGGCTAGTTAACGTTACTCACCAAACTCCGGGTTTTCCTCAAGGCTCTCCTCATTGTCAGCTCTTGATTGAACGGCACCGTCGACTAAACAGGGAGCCAGAAAGGCAATAAAGAATACGGCTCTCATTTTCAGGCAGCCCAAGCAGCTATTCTTGCTTGGTCATTGTCACAAGTTTGTGGATTTCCCCAAACCGCTAGCGTTAGCTGAGCTAACCGGAAATGGACGGAAAACATCCGCTAACAGTACATAAAAATCCCGCCTTCAAAGGTAAGAGTGCAGAAATATCTAAACTTGAAGTATCACAAGTAAAAGTACTCATCAGGTAGGAGAATGGTCTGTGTTGGTGAATAATATTATTGGATTATGACTTCTGAAAGACTGACGTGTAAGATGTATTTTATATTCTGTTGGAGGTGAAGCCAGAAATATACAAATAACTTAACTGTTGTGGGTAGTTTAATCCTTAACAATGCATTATATTTCATCATAATTCTGTATTTTGTTAAATATTAATTTGTAAAGTAACTAATATTATAGTTTTATTTTTGCACTGTATATTTTATTTTAGTTATTTATCGTGATTTTATTCTATGTACTTTGGTCAACTGGATGTTGTTTTTAAAGTGCTATATAAATAAATTTGATTTGATTTAATACTTAAAGCTGTTGAAATTGATTTACAATGGTATTTCCCTCTATAACGTTCTAGAGTAAAAGTATAAAATACTTAATCTCAAAATAGAACAAATCCACTACTTTAATAAATGTATTACTGTCCACCGCCCCCAAGGATACATTTATCCACAAGAAAAACAAAAACCCCAATTGCCTGTATAGAGTTGATTTGATTTTAAATGTATGTGCACAGGTAGTTTCATTTCTAATAAACTGCCTTTTTTAATGTAAAACGGAGTTAAAAGTCCAGTATTACTGTCTGGAATGTAGTAGAGCAGTATATAAACATAAGCACCTATGTTTATAATTACAAAAATACATAAGTAAATATAGTTTAGTCATAATCAGATTTTTCCTTCCATTTTTATTTTATTTTCCTGTTTAGTAACTTGTATTTTTAAGGATTTAACTGTATAAAGTGTAGCATTTTCTAAGAACGATAGATACAGACCATTAAAAACATCCAAGCACATTTATTATGCAGGTAAAATAATCAGAAAGACAAACTTGGACATGGGTTATAAAATGTTTTATTCATGTCAGAGCTGATACATAGGGATTCAAACAGTTCCACAAGGCTTTTGGGGACTACGACTGAATGAAAAGCTAAACAATAGTGGTCCAAATCTCTAATGACAATCACTGGACAGACTAATACATCACCCTCATGTAGGATGTGTACAAGTTCATTGAAAATTACTAAACTTTATACTTGAACGTGTGTTAACAGCAATTGTTCCCATTCCAGTGTAATATCTCGAGACATGCATGACAGAGTTGTTTTCTTCCCATTATAAAGGTCCCTGCATTTGATCAGACAAACAAGCCACACAGTCCCACCCCCCAAAAGACAGACATGCCTCGGTGAAAGAGTGGCATCATAGCCAGGGCAGAAAGTGAGTTTAACCAATGGGCACTAGCTGTTGCAAGTGCACTGGCTTTCCCTGCAATATGAAAATCATATTGTTAGAAGTTGGGCTTCAGCCACTGTAACCGTACCACTAACTAGAAAGACACTAAAAAGTACTGGGGGGGAACTTTTTATACCTAACATTTCTTAGTGGGAAAAATCCAAACTCGTTCCGTCAATGGGATTTAGGCTTCCAGTTGTTCAATGACGGGACAATTTTTACTGCGTCTAAACTGAGCTACAAATCTGATACCATTGAAAAGCTATCGATACTTTTCTACAGCTGAAATGGCACAAATGGAAAGGCAGGACAAACACAAACCAAAGGAATGGAGGGTTTCTCTTTTCACCAGGTGTTATCCAAATCTGCATTGTGAAAAGAATGTCCCCCCCATTAATTTCCTTACACAAATCTTTTCAGCACTGGGTTTTATTGGTAGAATGTTTGAGTGGAGCAATAAGGAATGAAGAATGTGTAAAAAGTTTTTTTTTTCCTTTTTGTCATTTTCAAAGATGACCCCAACACTGAAGGCTTGTGTTTTAGTTCTCGTTTTCGCCGCCGTCTTTATTATCATCCTCTTTTTCCTCAACCTCATCACCAGCGCTGTCCGATGTCCATAACTGAGGAAAGAAAACACTTGTTTAAAATACAGTAGCTAAAAGTCAAAATCCAGACTGTCTCCATCCTTCAGACAGCTGATTATCTACTTCTGTTTGTCCTTTAGCTTCATTTGTCTTACTGTACATCTGTCAACATAAATTTGTGATATAGTTCTGAACACTGCAGTCTGCAAATATGGTGTAGAAAGGGCACCATCCCATTAAACACAACACACTACTTTGAACCCACTTTTGCTTTTTATATATGTGACATAACACCCTGTTGTAAATATACTAAAAACTGAGGACAGACATCAAGACAACACCGTTTTTTGCGCCACATGGGAGTAGAACACTCACTGTCAGGTTGTCTCTGAGGAGCTGCATGATAAGAGTGCTGTCTTTGTAGGACTCCTCGTTTAACTTGTCAAGCTCTGCGATGGCATCATCAAATGCCTGTAAGTAAAAAGGAAAATGTTAACACCTTTAACATACCACAAACAACTCTAACTTTGTGAGAAAGTATGCAGACCGTTTTGGCCAATTCGCAGGCTTTTTCTGGAGAGTTGAGGATCTCATAGAAGAACACAGAGAAATTAAGCGCCAAGCCCAGGCGGATGGGATGTGTGGGATCCATCTCAGTCTTGCTGATGTCAAATGCTCCCTGGTACGCATGCTGTGAGTTTTCGATGGTCTCTGGAGAAAAAGGAAGGAAAGGTTTCTAGTCAAAGTAACAAAAAACAGAACATACAGACTTACTGGGACGAATTTATGCTTTTAAAGGTACTTTATGTGATGAAGTATTTCATGCAGTTGTTGCAGCAGGTGCAAAGAAAACAGTGGAGACTGGATGAAAAAAAAAAAAAAAAAAAGTTCGATACATGGCTGCCAGTAAAACAATGTGCCATTTTTTACACTTCAGTTTTTGTATATACTATAGTTTATTATTCCATTTACAATTAGATCCACTGGGCCTGGAGCTAAGAATACTGAAACATTTCATGAGATTTGTTAATATCATTTTTTTTTTAAATTAATTGTTAAAGTTTGATGGTGGCATCAACTTTTCAGTAAACACTGTCATGTTAATATGGTTGCAAGATAATGTGAGTTACTGCAGTACCATATCTTGTTCATATAAGTGCATCACAGTGCATGCCGGTTAGTTTTCTGTCCAACTTGATCCCTATTTGCTCTGGTGTAACACCTACATGGGCAATGATATTCTCACAGGATTGAGACACCTGCAGTGTTTTGGAGCCAGGCGCCGCAGTTGCTCTCCACTGCAAGAGCTCAGAGCATGATGAGAAATGCCTGACTCTCACCTGATCTGAGCTGACTGGTTGACATGTTGGATCAACAACATATTTTATTTAAATGTACACCGCCCAGCCACTTTATTAGGTACACCTGTACAACTGCATGCACTTCAATGCAACACTTCCGTCTTAACATCTCACACAGTTCATGTCGAATGAGCCTATTCTCCAAATATACATTTTACCCTGTGGGAAAGCCTGTCACCCTCTCATTTATCCACTACCCACTCCTGTTGTATCCACCTATAAGAGGGCACCCTGTGGTCACATGACCGTGACACAAATGAGGTCATTTCCAGCTCTTAGCTTTAAGACAAATCTGACACATTCCCGTTTGGAATGACAAGGGGCCCAGATTCACAATGACAGAGAGAGGCTTATTTTGGCTTTTACATACACCTACTAGACATCTTAAACACTCCATCTCCCCCACTGCATAATATAAAAAGAGACAAAGTACTAAGAAACTAATTAAAGTAAAAACACTAGCTAAAAACTGTTCTAGAAATAAAACAAAGGCAGTCAACTCACTTGATTTGTCATCTCCAGAGGCAACTTCAGCAAGGTATCTATAGTAGTCCCCCTTCATCTTTAGATAGAAGACTTTGCTCTCAGCATTTGAGGAGTTTCCAATTAAATGATTATCCAGCAGTTTCTGTGAAGACAAAAACAGGTAAGATCAACTTAATTAGATGTAAATAAATACCGAGGAGTAAGACTCTTCAGAACAGCTGATAGATCAAGAGCCAAAGTTTAAGGATGATATTCACAAGATCCCTGATCAACACAGTAGTCACACTATAATAATAGTCACTAAATGCATCGATCGGAGCACAAATTATGATGACAACAAACTATGCCCACAACGACACTGCATGCTACAACACTGACCATCTGCAGGACTCACTCATCATTAGTGTGCTGTAGGCCTCCACCCACCAGAGAGCACTGGTCCCTTTGTTCATCATAGCTGCTAAGCTCAATGATTAACACCACCACTCCATCAGGAGTGAAGTGCATGTGCTCACTCACCCAGTGTGTCACTCAGAAGAAACCATTTGCTCTGTCATTCTCAACTAAAGTCGCTCCAAACTTTTCATAACCAGGCCAGGCCTCTGGAGTGTCCCCAGCTGTCTTCTGCCCCAGATTCCACAATATCAAGACTCTCCTCCTGTCAGTGCTGTAGAGTTTGATGTCTTATTGCTGGTTATCTTATCACAAACACAATTGGTATCATTTTTTCCTTCTCCTACCCGATTTACAGCAAAGTATAGGAAATAATACTGGCCTAGAGGGTAAACACGATTTATTTTTTTATCTTGCTACATTAACAAATATTTTACTATTGTTATTTTGATGTTTATATCCTTTTGTAGTTTTAAGCACCTGTTTGCTTTTAGAGAACTATAGTCTATAGAGTGCAGAACTTAGAACAAAGATGGCAGCTACAAGAGCATTTTAGCTTAGCTGCTCAATGATGAGTTTATTACTGCAGAACTACCTGCTCCTTTTCAATTTGAAGTTTTAATCTTAATCACACAAATTTAAAATGCAATCTGTGCTTGCCAATTAAATATGCAAAGTGTATCTTAAGGGTGTGTTCTCTCTAAAAGCAACAGTTGCTTAAAACTACAAAAGGATTTAAACAGCACAAAAAAGTAATACGAGTAAAATATGTTAATGCAGCATGATGTAAAACAAATGTGTTGCAAATCACATCTTGCGATTACATTCTAGGCCAAGTCATCTGTGGACATGAAAAGATTATAGAGCTAATCTGTGTTAATGAAAATGCATCTTATGCTAAAACACACCAGTTTAACAGTTTCATTCAGAATAAAAATGTTCGCCAACACCTCAACACCAACAACAGTCTTGATTGAGAAGCAAGATGGTGTTCAGTGTGACCTACACAGAGTTTAGACATTCCTTTTTCTAACCCTGGTAAAAAGCTGTCCTCATTTCAGCCAAACCATCCCAGCAGCCACACCCCAGTCATTACTGACACAAAGATGGGCTCCGCCACAACACAAGCATGTCTAAGTGCTAAGCATTCCTCTTTCATTGCATGCTCTGCACAACAGACAAGACGAGTAGCCTCACTCTCTGTGGTTTCATACAAAGCTCACCAGCACTCACAAGAAAGCACAGCATTGTTACTGGATGAAAAGCCTGCCTGGCTGTGACTTTGCCTTAACATGTCTAGCAAAAATTGATAACTTGACAAGCATGGACTAATCATTCATTAGCAATTTGATTAGCAGTGCTACAGAGAGCTCCAGGGCTTTAGGTTTCAGGTGGTGCAAGCTTTTTATCTTTGCAGACACCCCTCACATCCTGGACAATGTTTGAACTCTTCCCCTCTGGATGGCGCTAAAGGTCACTGTATGCCAAAACAACCATACACAAGGAGTTTCTTCCCCTGTGCCCTCACTCTGATGAACGTTCAACCCACAACTATATAACAGAATGACAATCCTCTGTGTAGTACCTTGTAAATATACCTTTGTATACATCCATCTGAAAACTCCATCTAATCTGCCTGCATATACACATATACGTTGAGTGTTATTTTTAGTTTTTATTTCCTAATGTACGTTTTTTCTTTTCTTGTTCTCTCAGTCTTATCTTGTTTATTGGCTGCCTTAAGGAAGAACATTGTACCTGCACATTGAGAGCAACTGTAACGGAGTCAAATCCCTTGTGTGTTCAACACACCTGGCCAGTGAAGCGGATTCTGAAATGTGATAATCAGGCTGTCACAATAATGACATGTCGCATCAGGAGAATATCAGATAACTGTACACTGGACTCTATAGTTGGGAAAACATGACTGACATTTTAGTTGTATTTTTATTTGTTTCAAAGCATCAGATGTATCATACAGTCTTGTTCAGAAGCATGAATAACCTGAAACTATACAGATGCCACCCTGTCTGATTTACAAGCCCTGCATTCACAACCTGTGTGGAAACTGGACCCCAAACACGCCTCTGCTGCCTCCCAGCTGAGACCTGCATTCAGCTGAGATAAAAGTCCATCTGGTCTGTCTACTGTGCAGGAAATCAGAGAGGGCCACACAAGCATCTTACATCTATGCTCCGAGTTTGTGGGGGCACAACTCACCTGTTACGCTTAGGGCAAGAGGACTGACACACCCTCATCTGCTGACAAACCCTCAGTCAACATTCCCTAGCATAGATACTTAAAGCTGAGTCACACCTGTGCAAAGGTACAATCACAGGAACACACATGGGAAGCTAGTGGAAAATGAATCACCCTTATAGCTTTGCAGTGCATTTTAAAGACATCAGCTTGGGGAAATTATCTCAAACATACAGCTAAGATTCCACACAGATTACCTGTAATCCATTATCAAGGCTACAAATAATGTAAAGCATTACTCTGTACTGTATTGTTGCATTAGATTAAACAAGAATTCCAGTATCCCAGTAAAGATTAGCCTTGAAATATGGAGAGCAATGTCGACAAATGAATTTAGTTTAGCTATCAAGCACAATCTCATAGGTTTCAATTGGTGATCATTTCTGGTGATCTGTATAAACAGAGCTTTAGGGTAAGTACAAGTAATTTATGCATATAAATTGTTGAACTTGAGTAATCACATTAGGCATCTATCTGCCCAACTGGACTGCATGGATAGTGACCATAGCACAGCTTCACAGACCACAGTATATTTCCAGCGTGTAGCCCGAGTTCTCTCTCCACCCATTCAGACACACCTTGTTGGTGTAGTCACTATGACCTTTTGTCTGTTCACACCCTCCCAGGATCTCAAGCCTATTGTTCTAAATCCAGATTCCTAAAAGGCAGAACAGTGGGAGGACTATATAATACTTCCTTGTCCTCTCTGCCTTTAGAGAAGCTCACAGAAAACAGGGAAGGGGCCAACTAACACACATTATTGGATAAAAAAAAAAAAGAATGTCACTATAAATCGTGTGTATACATTTCATGAAAACTGACTAAAATGAAACACTCTATGCAGATGACAAAATTTAACCTCAGCAAATGTAGTTTATTTCGTCTTCTTTAAGCTTATGCCTCAACAGTTACACTATACTAGAGTAGGGGAGTATTAATGAAATCACACTGCAGTTTTAGTTAGCATTGATTAAAATTGGTAAAATTCATTCTGATCTAACCAGCAGTTAACCTATCATGCTCTGCTTTGAGAGTACTTTTTCAGTAAGAGGTCTCATCTCACATATGGATAATATAGATTCATACTGCTGACTTAAAAAAAAAAACAGAATAAAAATCGATCCTTTACCAAAACGTTGCTGCAGACCTCTTGCAGTTCCCCCTCCACCTTCTCCCGATATTCCTTGACCATCTGCTGCTTCTTCTCGCACCCCTCGGTCTTCAGGGCGATGCTGGATATCACCCTCCATGAGGACCGCCTCGCCCCGACCACGTTCTTATAGGCGACGGACAGCAGGTTCCTCTCCTCGTTTGACAGCTCGCCTCCCTTCTCTGTAACCGCCTTCATGCATTCTGCCATGTCGTCGTAGCGCTCAGCCTGCTCCGCCAGCTTGGCCTTGATAATAAGATCCGCTCTATCCATAGTTTATATGTTTTAGGGGACTGAGAGATCAGAAATCCGGGGATGACCGTGTGTGACAGTCAAGGACTGCTTGGTTAAAGAATGGGTGTAGCAAGGGATCGACGATGTTATTCCCCACGGTAACGACACAAGCTGCGAAAAGATATAATTACATATTAGTAATTGTCATCATTAAAACTATATGTAACTGGAGGGAATGTCATCATCAGAACAAAAGACCACGCATTCGCCTGGCATTAGCTAAAAAGTAACACTGTCTGAGCAACGGCAGTCATTAAAATACTTGGAAACGGAAGAAAATCGGTTTTTTTAGAAATGTTTGGCTACAAAATTACCAGCCTGTCCTTATCATTAACGTACCGAATTTCAAATAATTTTCGATGTAAAACAGTCTATCTTTATAAAGTGTTTCGAAGCTGAGGTTGATTACGAGCATGGGAAGCAGAGGTCTGCTGGCAAGCCCGTTTTAAACGGCCATCCGCCACAAAGCTGTCTGGTGAAATAGCTAGGAAGCTAGCAACAGTTAGCTGGCGTTAGCTATATCGACCACTCCTTTCAATCAGAAAAATGCGCCTTTAGCGTTACTCATAACTCATATAAAATCACAAAATAAACCACAATTTGTCAGTTCAGCGATGAAACAGCAGGCACACACTTGAAGGAAAAGAATAAAATACTCATCGTTTCTGACCTACTGGGGTCGAAATTCGCTCCACAAATCGGTCCGACTTGAAAGATTGTTCAGAGAGGTAGGGTAGCAGCAGCGAAAATCCAACTTAACGTGCTAAAATGGGGCGGGCCAACTGGCTGTCGGTTCTCCAATTGTAAATCGGAATATTACTTGATAGACAGGAAGATTTAGCGGTCTAAACCAGCAGTTGTTTAGCGCGGGGAAAGGAGGTGGGCCTTCAGAAATAGTTTGACAGACCGGAACGCTGCAGCGGCTGGGGCCACGGGGTTTCCTCCAATTAGAGCAAGGGATGAAGACGTCATCCCATTGCCGTGGAGATGTTTGTCCAATCACACTCTGCTTATTGCAACACTAGCGCCTGGCAGAGCTACGCGTCTGCCATTTTGGACTGAAAGCGACTATAATATCTGTCAAATATATAGAAAAACCTCATAACGCCAGCAAAACTTAAGAGGGTAAAACAAATTATATCTGTTCTTTTGTTATATACTAAATGAAAAATAAAAATGTTATATATAAGCATGCTATTATAACATTTTTATATACATTTATATATATTCATATATTACATGTATGAAAGTGTGGGCCTACAGTTCATACCTCAGTGGCTATAGATTTTGAGCTTATCCCTATCAGTCACTCATTTCTGAGATTCTGCACGCACCTGTAAAAGACAACGGGGTATTAGGTTATAGGATATGCAAATTACTTAATTTAACTGATAAGCTACGTCACTATGTCAATATTAAAAAGAACAAGAACTGCTGAGAGAAAGAAGAAAAAGCTAAGGGTTGATTACTCTAAAACAAAGGGGGAAAGTTTAGGTTAAAGGCAGACAACATAGTCTCAAGCTTTCTTATGACTGATTTTGGACCGAGTAACCTTATATTAATCAAATAGGCACTGCAACGTAGACGGGAAGCGTATGTGGGAAATATGGTCCAGTACAAGACAAGTTTAAGGTGGAGCAATTAGATAATTCTACTAATATAACCGTTCACAAGCTCTTTACTCTTATGCTGATAGTTTTTACAATTGACTACCAAACTCTGTTTTCTTTTATTCCACTTAGAATTCACTTTCTCGACCATGTCTGTGTCGATTAAATTCTTTATAGGGTTTGTACTGTTCTCATTGGCGTTTTCAGTCCAAAATGGCGGCCGAACAACCACAGCGCCTTCTAGCGGATGTTGTCGAAAAAGCACCAGAGTTTCGCCTCGATTTTCTTTCAGACGCTGTAGGCAGGGTGTGGCACCTAGGCGATTACATGTAGTTAGTTTTAAAGTTTGTATCTGGTGATATTGTATCTTCTTCTTATCGTCAGATCTCACGAACACCAAAACTGACAGCGAATTGATCATAATTACAAGTATTGTCTTACTTCTAAAGCCTGATGTTTGTCAGTCCCCCACCCATAACTTCTTCCTTGTTTGAATGGCATTTGCTACGTGCCTGACTTATTAAAGTAAATGATTTGCCTTTTTCTTAAACAAAAATATACTAATAATCTAGTTTAAAATCAACATGTAGGCCTATAGAAACCTCTTAAAGTTCACAGAAAATAGAAATGTTATCATCTATGACAACTGAGCAAACTCTATAACTGTTGATGAAGATGTGATATGAGTGCTGGCTCATCAATGGACCTTCAGATGAGATGGTATTGTCAGCACTTCCATGGTTAAATAACATTTGCTAAAGAGGCTTACCGTTAATGATTTTTTCCAGGAAACAATTTGTGTTTTTAACAACTGAAAAGTGCATTCATTATCTGTTTTTAAAGGTTTATATCACTTTGGTATAGATGCTAAAGGGCACTGGGAAGTCCAAAAGAGAGTTGGACTAACACACTGTTGATTTTGTTTTTTTATGAGATTTGCTGACCGTAAGAACAATATAGACTGGCCTTTGAAGCAGGACTTGTGTAGTGTTTAAAACATATTTCAAGAATTAAGTCTCAGTTTACACCATGAAATGTATAACTCCGTGTTTTTTATGTCCACCTGTCATGAGCCTGCTGGGCACAGAATAGAGTCCCAAGTGGTCAGGTTTCCCATGTGTCTGAAAAGGATGGGGGAGGGTCTTTCTGTTAAGTAGGAGTGGTGACTTTTTACATGTCTGTACCTATGCCTCCTCTTCCTCATAGTCTACCCGTCCACTCTATAAGTGTAAGAATTTCGTCCAATTCATCATGTGTGTCAAGTCCCCTTCCCATAGACTCACTTGTCTGGTTTTGAAACAACACAGCCCTTCTTGACTGGCTTCAGTCCAGTTCTGTGAAAGTTTTATTTTTAAATCCTTATTGAGGTTGGGTTTGCTATGTAGTGCAGGATATTTTATATGTGACACGGTTTCTGGTCAAATCAAAATGGCCATGAGTTGTGAGTACGTTGGCAGGATTAAGACTAATTGTCCACATAACTCACACCACAGGAAAACCATTATTATTCTTCGAGTCTTCTGTTGCTAGTAGCAAACTGGCAAAGTTCCATAAGCTGCAGTTGAACAGATTGTTAACAACCACTGTTTTGTCTGTTCAGTCTAACTTGGGCTAAAAATCCAGTGTGAGCCAGGTATAAATATAACATCCAGTCAGACTATGGTAATGTTTAAGATACATCAACTAGCCTGCTGGTGGCACAAACAAAAGTCCAGTGTCTTTGTGCACCAAAAGATTGATCATGCTGTCTTTCAACACAGTGTTGTGTTTTGTAATTTTGTGCATTTTCATTCAGTTTTCAGTCACAATGCAGTTTGCACAGTGGGGTACATAGATTTTTACAGTGAGTCGGCTCTTTCATTATGGTAGTTGAACATCAGTTGAAGTTATGCTATCAAGTCCAGTGTAACCTATCTCCACTCTAATGTGTAGGTATCTCAGTACTTGGCTATGCTGTGTGATGTGTGGAGGGGATGAAAATGGCCTCTGTATATCCAAGGACAGATCAGTTTCCACTCTGGTTTGTCCCTTTCCTCTTTATCTCCTGCAGACAACTGAAATTCTACCTGAAACCTTTTGAAACTAGTTGAGCAAGATTGACTTACATATGCTGGATTATCAGTGTTTTGTTTTTAAAATAATAAGATTTGAAATATTTTGTATTTTTCTTAATTTCAACAAAATCTAATTAAAATACCAATGCAACAACATCTCTCAGTACTGTCTTACCTTTCTACCATATGTGGCTCTTGTGAAGCCATAAATCATTTAAAATGGCCCTCAAACATATAGATACATTTTTTTTTAACTCAGCCATTTCCTTAAATAGCTGGTCACTCTATTTCTATCTTTACTGAGACAGGACTAAATACTGCATTTGTGCTGCACTCAGTGTTCTAGTGAGTACAGTATTTATAGAGGCAGTACAAACATTTCAATACTATAACTGAACAAACTTGTAAAATCACCAGATCAGCTGAGAGGAGATTATTTTCTCAACTCTGATCATTCATTGTCTGCAGGAGATAAAGAGGAAAGGGACAAACCAGAGTGGAAACTGATCTGTCCTTGGATATACAGAGGCCATTTTCATCCCCTCCACACATCACACAGCATAGCCATTCATTATATTCGGACACTATGGCCCATTGGTGTGGTTTTAATAGTTATGACAACAGTGGAAAAATTGTATCAGCCAATTCTCCAGTATCAACTTACTGTTGGTTTTGGTCTTTGAAAATAAGGAAAATACAGAATATCACCAGATATACCCTTTAATTTAAGTATGGCACTTTCTACAAGTAGAATATAGCAGCTGTACATTGTGTGTATGTTAAACAAATACCTATATATACATTAAGCATCAGTGTGTGGTATATATACTTATCACTGGAGCTGATAGTCTTAAATTTTTTTCTGGCTTTTAATGACACCATAGTGGAAAGCAAAGGAAGAATTTCCCTGTGCAAGGAAACTTGTTTCTTTATTGTGCATGACAATAAACGCTTTGAACTTTGAACTGAGACAGCCCTGCATGTCACTGGCACTTTTCTCTAAGTCATTCATTGCACAGCTTACGGTGGCTCAGACAGAAAGCACACCCACAGAAGCTTTCGTTTGCAAATGGAGACTGGAGTTAACTGGCCTCCCTCTCCACTTCTCCCTGCCTGAAAGGCCCAGACTTCTAAGGCTAGTTACTGGCTATGAGCCAGGGCTAAAGCAGTTTAGCCATGAACCAGAGGTCTCCAACTACAGTTGGGGGCAACAGCGTATTCAAGAAGTTACAACTAAAAAGAAGTTGGATGCTGCAAGAAGTAAAACCAGAATTAACAGCGATATGGCCTTTGAACAACATCAACAACTGAGAGAACAAAAGAGGCTGAAAAGTGACACCATGGTGGCCGTGTTTCTGCAGTAGCAGTAAGGCAGGGCACACTGCAGTGCGTGTTATGTTTTGGAGGAGTGGCTTTTTGAGAGAAGTCAGAATGAAAGGGCGGGATTTCTTTGGTTGGCTACTTTCAAAATCGAGCTTTGTCTTGCTGGTTTTTCCAGGATCACCAACCCTGCCTTTAACATTAGACAATATGTAGACATTTTCAAAAGATTCAAATGAGTCTATATAAAAAACCATAGTCAAGTTACAGTATTTAAAAGGACAAAGCTCCTTATTCATTACATTTCCACATGGTCTCTTCAGGCATTTGTCACTGCTCTTGTTGTCACTACCCTAAACCACAAACACACAAACCTCTTCCGAGTTTCAATAAAGTGTTCAAACCTGCCTGCTGGGTGTGACTGTAAAGAGTCACAGGCAAGACACTTACTGTAGTTGGTAGTATCATTTCAATTTTGAATTCATTCATTTGTACTAAAAGATTTTATTTCAGTGTTTCAAAATGGACATGACAGCAAGACAACTAAATGTCCTTATTGTAGTTTCTTCAAAATCATAGGCTGTCTAATGTTATTAAAACGTAACAGGAGAACATATAAAGGTTAACATCCTGTCTATTGCAAAACCTAACCACACAACAAGCCTTTTCTTGCTTTTACAAACTCAGAGGAATTTACAGTAAAAGGCTAAGTGACGAGTGGCGTTGACTCGTATATTAAAAGCACCTGCTTCAAGGACAACTGTACTAAAACCAGTCACTGTCTGATTCTTATTAATAAAAATAAATAAAAGTATATAGGAGCTACTCTACACACATGCGTTC